TGGAAAACAGACTTGGTAGCTCAGTAGAGCACTTGTGGATGTAGCAAGGAGTCAGGCCAGGGCTTGAAGCAAACTCCCTCCACTTTCTAGTAAGTCTATAATATGAACACAATAATGTATACCTCCTAAGACTATGAAAATTAAAGAATCTTAATATAGTTACTCTTCAATATTACTACTTCCATATAATATTTTCAAAATTTTATCTCCTTAAATATTCCTATTCTAATCACAGTTCAAACTGGGTATATTTCTACCGCACTTGAAAATCAAAGGGTAACTGCACACTGATTGCGTCTACCTTCCCCTGTCTCTCATCCCCAAACTACCTGCCCAAATGTAGTTTCAAATATTTTATTGATTATTTTTATTTTATGTGTACGAGTGTACTGTCTGCATGTGTGTAAGTGCACCTGTTTCATGCAATGCCCACAGAAGACAGAAGAAGGCATCAGATCCCCTGGAACTGGAGTTACGGACAGTAGTTAGCTACCATGTGTGTGCTGGGAATCAAACCCAGGTCCTCTGCAAGAGCAATTGGCACTCTTAATCACTGAGCCATCTCTCCAGGCCCCCAAATGTAGCTTTAATAAGAGGCAATCACAGTGCTTTCCAGACACATCACATCTATCACCAATATGCATCTCTGGGTACACAGGGCTATGATTTTCCAAGGTATATTGTTCTTATCCTGTGGATACTAATTATTTTTATAACAACCATGTTTGACACACTTTCTCATGATTGTAACTGTTCTTTTTTGAATGGAGGGCATAACAGTAATTATATTTGAATAAGGATCCTAAAACAGGAGGACACCCCCTGAAGTTTTATGAACAAAATCAAGAAGACACCTAGAATGACTCTTGCTCTTTGATGGAAACTAGTCAAACATGACTGACCACAAGAAGATGATCCTCCCATGTGTACAGAGTCTGAGGGACGATCTTATCACTGGCAGTAAGCCAGTAAAGTCATAGTCATTAACAGCATCTTCTCATCCCTCTGCAGTGCTCTGCGAGCACCTCACCTTCTCTCTTAGTCCCCTCTTTGGTCCTGTCCACTCTTTTGCATTCCTCCTGAGACCTTCTACCTTAGCAGCCCAGGCTGTGCTCTCATCCCCTGCTCCACTAAGAAAACCTCCCATACTCAGTGGGAATACCTTCAACTCCAGTCTTACAAAGCTTCCTTCGTCAAGCCTATTTTCTCACCCTTTCTTTCTCCTTTGCCAGGAGTGCCCTCACCATCCTGTCTTAGCCTCGTCCTTGCTTTTTTCTCCTCAAGGTCCTTGATCTATTAAAAATCTTTCTCATCTGCTGCTAACTTCTCCATCTACTGACTCTTTTCATTTAATACAGAAATATACTTCTAGGGCTGGAGAGATGGCTCAGTGGTTAGGAGCACTGGCTGCTCTTGCAGAGGACGCAGGTTATATTCCCAGGACCCAAATGGCAGTAACATCCATCCTAAGTCCAGTTCCATGGGAATCCAATGCTCTCTTCTAACCTCTGTAGATATTTCACGTCATGGGTGCACTTACATTCAGGCAATACACTCATACACATAAAACAAAAATAATAAATAAAATATTTTTGAAAAGAAATATATTTCTTTTCTTCCAGTGAAACAAGGCACATACAAAACACACACAACAAAGAAGGTAACTCAATGGTAGAACACTTGCCTAGCATGCACAAGGACCTGGGTTCCATCCCCCCTGACTGTAAAAAGATATAAAGGAAGGCTCCCTGTCCCCTGAGATTTTCCTTTCTTACTGAGTGCTCCTGGAGCTCCTCCTCTTCTTCCTCCTCTTCCTTCTCCTCTCTCTCTCTCTCTCTCTCTCTCTCTCTCTCTCTCTCTCCTCTCCTTCCTTTTTCCCTCTCCTCCCCTCCCCTCCTCTCCTTTCTTTCCTTTCCCCTTCCCCAGGCTTTTAAGGTAATTCACTACCCACTGAGTACTTGAAGTTCAGCTCTGCTGCATCTGCCATTCACAATATCCCCACTCTCCTCAGGATCATCCTATTCAGTAAGCAGATACTGAGTTCCTGCTATATGTCAGACACTGCCAAAAACATTCAGACTATATCAGTGACCAAAACAATGATCCCTGCCTTTGTAGAACTTACATTTTACCAGGGAAGACCAGAAACAGATAATGCCACAAAAGAAATTCTAAATTATGTGGTATGGTAGAATTTAAGAAGTGCTTCAGAATACTTTTGCGTAGTACTGTGTAAAGGAACTTGGAGGGTGCAGCTTTAAATAGAATGGCCAGGGCAATGCCCTTTAAGAGACGGCAAGTAGGACATGTAGGACTTGCCTGGAGTTGGGGTTGCAATCAGACATCTGGGTGGTAGGAAGAAGGAGGGAAAGTGACCAGAGCAAGACGAAGCTATGACAGTAAAAAAAGGCCAGGAACACGGCCACCCAAAATGCAATAGATGGGTCATGCTAATCTCCACACCGCTATGACTGCTGACACCTTCCTCTTCCTTAAAGCACTCTCTTGCCTTGACCTTGTGCGCTCCAAGGCTGTTTCTACCCCTTTTTCATGAAGTGTTCTTCCTCTGTTTACTCCCATGACTACCATTAGAGTAGAGTCAGAAATGCTTCACTTGGAAGTTAGGTGTGACCCCGCAACTTTGGGCAATGGGACATCAGCAGCAATCATGGTTCAATTTCTAATCTCAGTTTTAAGAGCCACTGTATGATTTATCACACCCCTCCCCTCTTCTTCTGGTCTGAAGAATGTGAACAATAAACCTAGTGCATTAGGCAGCTATAAGAAATAGTCACAAAGTATTGGAGTTTTGTAATAATTAAATAAATGAATCCATGTTATGCCCTTAGTACAGAGCATATGGTACATGAGCATGTGGTCTGGCAAGGCTGTGCTTGGACCACTTACTTCACACCCCAGAAGGCAGCATCAGAATTGTGCTTCCTAACTCAGGAATAACAGTGTCAAGGTGGTTTCTCCATCATGAGAGCAGCAGCTCAACGCTCAACCTCACTGAACACAGGCATGGAGGCAATAAACAGGCATTTTCTTAGAATGAGGCCATGAGACATGGGGTTGCCTGTTACTGCTCTAGAACCCCAAAATAGCTTCTTAGATACTCTATCAAGAAATCCATCCTCAGGACTACAGTCCACAGAACTCTCCCTTCCACTACCACCATATATTGATGACTAGACACAGGTCTCCAACCCAATTCACCCTGAATCAGTACATCCAAACCACCTAGTCCATAGCTCTCCTCAGGCATCTACAACCCACCAACAATCTACTTCATACCTCTCCTCAGCTATCCAGTGCACCCAGGAATGCCAACGTACCCTTTCCCTCTGACTTGTGCCTTCTTTAGTTGGTTTCCTGTCTGGGGAAAGGCATCATTATGGGCACCAGAACCTGCTGCAAAAACTGTGACACTGTGAACACCTCCCTTCTTCATCCTTCCCCCATGTCCAGTCAGAACAGAATTCAGTCCTGTGGCCTCCTCTCCCTGCCTTCCATGCCTTTTCCCTCCTCTGTTCCCATCACCCAGCTCCAGTCCTCCACTCACCCAGATGCTAGGAGCAGCTGCTCTCTGGCTTCCACGTGGGCTCCTTTGAGCAATGTGAGATTTCCCACATTGCAGTACAAGGTTCTTTCAAGAGTGTGAACATGACCATTTTACTTTTCCTTTCATCTCCTTTTACCATCCTTTACCTTTTGCCTTTTACCTGGCTCCCCTCTGCTCTCCAGGCAGAGCTGAATCCCTTCATCCTTTGCTCTAAGATACTTTACTACCTACTTCCTGCCAACCTTGCTGACCTCAGCTGCCTGCCTTTCTGCAGTCCCTCAAAGCTGAATGCTAGTTGTCAAGTATCACTGCTCATGGTGGTGGCAACAGTAATAAAATCAACTACAATCTCTGTTTTATTTATTGATCACTTTCAATAGACTGTAAATTCCTCACTAAAAAATCTCATTCATCTTTCTATTCTCAGTACCTAGGACAGCATCTAGCACATAACAGATACTCATGACCAAATGACTGGTGGACATACCTACTCACTACGTGGCATATCTACACATGCACATACCTAAAATCAATAGATAAATAAGTGGAAAACTCATAGCACGTCAAAATGAAAATCACATTCCTTTCTTCTGCCAGAAACACGGACACTGGAGAAGCTCAATGCAGAGCAGGCATCAATTCCATTTTTGTCTTTTTCATTAATGAATTGGGGTTTCTGATCATGATAGTGCAATAGGATTTGTTTTGTTCTGTTTAGATTTAGTTTACTTTTCTTTATGGGTACGTATCTGTGTGCATGCATGCGAAGTGTATGAAGGTGTCACCAGAAGCCAGAAAGATGGGGTGGGGGTTGGATACCCTGAAGCTAGAGTCACAGGCCAATACAGGTACAGGGAGCTGAACTCGGATGCTCTTCCAGAGGATCCAGGGATCCTAGCTGGTGTGTCATCTCTCTATTTCATCTCATTCTGCTGCCTCATTCTTACAAACTGCACTATCTGGAACATTCGCCATGTCTCACGAGCTGAAAGCAAACAAGTTACAACATTCCAAAATCTTCCCCTGCTCTCTAGTCAAAATGCTAATAACTTAAGCATGGCACAGTCAATACAGCAGTATATGCTGATGAGGAAAAGGAAAAGTACTGTGGGAATCAAAACACAACAACAGCAACAACAAACGAACAGGTCAAGTAGCAAGAGAACCCAAAAGATGAAACAGGAAAACTGAGTAGACTTTTCCCTTCAACTTCCCCTTCACTTAAACTTACAAAAAAATTTAAACTTAAAAAGGCTTTAATTACCTTTATATGATGACATTTACAGAAATAGAAAGTGTAAATATCAAAAGGTTTATTTTCAAATAAACCTATAAAATAGATTTAACTCACAACTATGGAAGAGTCATGGTGCAGAACACAATGGTAAGCCTTGATTTAAAGAAAACTGAGCTTCAAGTCAAAACTTTCTCTGACCTGAGACGATGATCGCCTTCAGGATGTCGGTGCTGCCTTCTGTGTCGCCTAGTGTCTTGGGTGCAGCGGAGTCAATCTTGAGCTGCTTCCCAATGAAATTTCGGCAGGTTATCTTTAAAAATGAAAACAAAAAACAGATATTACTTAGGTATTTATAGCTGAAAGTTTAGCTTACTTGAAATGTTTACCTCCTTCTTTGTCAAAAGAGGTAAGAAACAATACTACAAATAAAAGCTGCAGAGTAGCATTCAAACACAAGGAGTCTGGAGGAAAAACGTGGCTCCATAGTTTTTCATATTACTTTTGTACATACACACCTGGGGAAGCATTAGGCAACTTACGTAGAACAATCACAATATGATTTTCTGATAGTCTATAAACTCAGTAGTCTAAATATATATATTCTATTATGCAAGCTGAAGCATATTTAAAATACAGGCTTCTTTTCCCAAAGACAGATTGGTTTCAGCCTACACATAATTAATGTAATTTTAACTTCCCTGATAAAATTTTTCAAAACTAATTGCCTCCATAGTTCTTGACAATTTTTTGAACATATAGTTGAATCCTCAAATTGTGAAATGTGAGAAAACAGAAAATTTTATTTAAGAAATTCCATTAAAGAGCCTAAGACCCTGTTCCCTCCATTTGTCTACCCCCATCCCTTGACCTAACCCTAACCCATCACTCAAAATACACCTCTCCCTCAGCCCAGGCTGGTATAGATGCTGCTTCTTTGTTGTCCTTGAGGGTATTCCCATAGTGAGATACAAAGTCTGATAACGTGAAAATTCCTTCCTACAATTTAATATGATTTCACATGACCCAGTCCTTCCTGTCTCGTCAGTTTCCTAAACAAATCTTTATTGAACACCTATTATATGCCAAACATTGGTCCATGCTTGAAGGGGTAACATAGCAAAGAACAAAATTAACAGAAATTCTTATTCTTAAGAAGCTTTATTGAAGTGGGATACAGGAAAAAATAAAATACTGAAGAACAGTATAGCATATTAAAGAGTTATAGCTGCTATAGAGAAAACTGGTACAAACAGACTTGTTTTTAAATAGGGTAGTGAAATAAGACCTCACGGAGAAGGAAATGTTCTGCAAAGACTGAGAAAAGGTGAGGGGAAACTCAATGTGGCATTAGGGAAAGAGCATCTGAAGCAAAGGCGATATCATATGCAAAGACTCCCTAGGCCAGACTGTCTCAAGGAATAGTGTAGTTCAAATGTGCAGCTAAGGCTGGGTATGGTCTAGCACACCTGTAGTCCAAGCATTCAAGAGGCCAATGCTGGAAACTGGTCCACATAATGAGTTCCAGGCTAGCCAAGGATACCTGGAGGACCCTGTTTCAAGAAAGCCAAATAACTAAACAAACAAATAAATCCTACAGGACAGCTGAGTGTGATGACACATGCCTATAATCCCAGGACTCAATAGTCAAGAGGCAAGGAGGATCAGGAGTTCAAGGCCATCCTCTACTATCTAGCAAGTTCATGGTCATCTAGAGTTACATAAGATCCTGTCTCAAAACAAGCAACAAGAAAAAATAACTATAGGAAAAAATAGCAGGTACTAGCCATTAGCAGAGGAGTAAGTTAGGTAGGGTAACATATAGTAAGGCTCTGGTGAAGACCTTCACTTCACTCTGAGTCAGATAGAAAGCCGCTGCAGGATTTTAATCAGGGGACTGACTTGGGCTTTCAGAGTTGTTTTTGTCTGCTCCATTGAGAGTAGACTACAAGACATAGCAGGGTACCTACTACCAGTGGGCTGGAGGTTGGGCACAGGGTAATTACAAAGCCACCAACTCCAGCAAATGCACCAATAGATGAGAGGGAAGACTGTTCAGAGTAGTGAGAGCTGGTTAGAGTATTTTTGGTTGGTTTGTTTGTTTATTGAGACAAGGTCTCATTGTGTAGTCCTGGCTGTCCTGGAACTCACTATGTAGACAAAGCTGGCATCAAACTCAGAGACACTGGCCTTTCTCTGTCTCCCAAGTGCCGGAATTAAAGGTATACACTACAATACCCAGTCCTCTGATTGTATTTTGAGGGCAGAGGATTTGGAAAGCATTTTGAAGTGCAGTGTGAGGACAGGAGGGGAGTCAGGGATGCCGCCACAGTGTCTGGCCTGAGCTGTCATCAACTGCCAAAGTTTTGACAGAACAGGCTTGTTGTGATCTGGTAAATTTGGGAAGTGGCTTAAACATCTGAGACATGATGGTGTGGATTACACAGTGTGATGAGTTTTCTTGTGGATCACCTGGTGAAGGCTAAGCTCTAAGGAGGAAGGGCAAGAGAACATCCATTTTGTAGCATATCCATACCATCTTGGCTCTTTGATTAAGGACTAACCTAGATGTGACAGGACTCTGCAGATACTAATTAAAGTCCTGATTAACTGACTTTAAAATAGGGAGATTGTCCTCAAGGGCCTGGTCTAATCAGGCAAGTCCTTAACATGCCATTGGTCTCTGGGACCCCAAAAGGCAGCTGTGCCTACAATTGTTCTTTCTTCATGAACTGGCTGCAGATAAGTGGTTCCTTTCTGCCCACAGTCCTGATGGCCTACCCTAAGGAATTTGGACTTGCTTAGCCTGCCTCCATGGTCACAAAAGCTAATTCTAAGTAATGAATCTACACAGAGAAACAGAAATAGAGACAGAGAGATCTGTCTTGCCAGCTCTGCTTTGCTAAGCTCTGACTAACACTGGCAGTTAGATATGTTAACACAAAATTCAGGAGAAAGGTCTAGAATGGAGGTACAATTTCATCACAAAGATGGTACTAGAGACTGAATTAGACCCCCAAAGAGAGAGGATGTGAAAGGCGAAGGTGGGAGATCCAAGCTTGGGCAGGGGGACTCTAACATTAGAGCATCTGGGAAGAGAGGAAGAAGCAACAGAGAAGACTCAGAAAGAGCAGCTCCCTCTGTTTTCCTGAGCCACCTCAGCCATGCAGGCCCTCCTCTGCCATCTCAAGACCTCACCCTAGTTCTACCCTCAGCCTGGGAAGGCCTTTTCCCAGATCTCTGTGTGGCAGGTCCCTTCTCTGTAAGCAAGAGGTCTTATGGACCACTCTGGCTGAAGTGCCCACCTCACACCCCAGTCCCTCTCTAGCCCATTGATTTATTTTCTTTAGAGACTTTGCAATGATCAACTCTTTTCTTTAATCTACTTCCATGTTTATTATTGGCTTCATCTCCATCCCTCTGAATCTAAACTGTGTGAGGCAGGAACTCAGACTGGAGCCTCATCACTTACAAGAACATACAAGAGGCAAGGCTCTCAATTAGCCATGAAGAACTTTCATGAGACATGAAGAACATGGAGTCCTCAATCGGTAGAGGCAGCACCACAAGCCCACATACTGGTGTGAGGTGGGAACTGGAGCCCAGCCCCACTGACTGGGGGTACACTCAGATTACATATGAATCCAGATTTGTTAAATTAGAAAACTAGAGAGTTTATACATTTCTTTGCCTCTGTCTCTATTAGGATTATCATGGTTTTCAAGAGCCTTGGGCATTTCATGGGCTCGGTCCTCTATTTAACACACACACACACACACACACACACACACACACACATACACACACAGTTGGCATAACTAAAAAATATCAATAGTAAAAATTAAAACATTTTCTTTGTCCTGAAAGTTATTTTATTTTTTTAATTATTTTATTTTATTTTAAAATAAATCCAAACATTTAGCAGGTCCCTAAAAGTGTTGTGGGCTTTAGATACCATTCCCATTGACTCTAAGGAATGTGTCAGCCCTGACCTGAATACAAGTTTCCTGTGGACAAGGACTTGATTTCTGTGTTTGTGATATCTGAAAAATGCTGGCCCAGAGTAGGCTTTCAGTAATGTTTGTTCATCTGGACAGAGAACACTGAAGTGAAAACACTGCTTATTTGACTCCTAAATCTTTGCCATTTATGCGGATGGTAGTACGAAGTCACCACTGTATCAAGAGCAGAGATCACTTGCCTTCTCTCCATATGCAGCCTCATATCTTGCACAAGCTTGTTGGGAAACATCTGGGCCTTTGAATTTCTGGATTCTCACAAGCAGCTGGCGCTGGGCATACACCAACAGTGGGGTCACTTGTTCAGTATACCTCTCACTAGGCAGGGCAAAGAACACACTGAAAAGTGAACAGGAGCTGAAAAGCATTCCCCTACCCATGAAGGCTGGTGCCTTTCCGTTTCAGTCAGACTCACTGTGAAATTATGTTGAACTGGATGGCAAGTGACGTCAGTGTTTCCCATTTTTCCACTTGGTATAAAACCTCTAGAGACTTTAATACAAAATCATGGATCCATTTCAAATCAACCACATTAATGTCATCCAAAGGATGCTCGAAAATAAGGCTGGAGCCACCGTTTTCCTGTCTGATATTCCCGTAACAGCTTGGAACGCTGAACTCGCCTTTGTCGTCTATGGACTGTAATAGACAAAATGTGTAATTTCATATTTTGCCACATATTTTTCTGATAAATGTGATCATGTAAATGAGAAGGAACTGAACAAAAAAGAAAAATTAATATGTTATGCAACTCAAAGCTTCATAACTTGAGATGGTGTTATGAAATAAAGTTTTTTTGATGATGAAAATGTGCTGTAATTGTGTTGTTCATTGTAATTTAATATCACCAGCAGACACACGTGGCTGCTGAATACTTGAAATGAGAATTGTGCAACTGAGGTTTTAACTTTCTGGGTTTTAATCATTTCACATTTTTTAAATTTATTGTTTTATTATTTTTTATGTACATGAGTGTTTTGCCTGTGTGTATATAAGTGCACCCATGCATGCAATGCCTGCAGAGGCCAGAAGAGCACATCAAATCCCCTGGAACTTGAGTTACAGGCAGTTGTTAGTCACCCTGTTGGTGTTGGGAACTGAACTCAGGTCCTCTGAAAGAGCAGCCAATGCTCTTAACTGCTGAGCCACCTCTCCGGTCCCCCATTTTACATTTTAACTTACGGTTAATATTTATTAGATAGCAAGGGTTGTGGTTGTGCTTCTAAATATATATTCACCATTGATTTAAGTAAGGATATTAAGCCAGTATGACAAAGCTTTAGGAGAAAAAATTTACTGTAGACAATAATACTTTCCCTAATATGTTGGTTCCATTCACTAGCTTTTAGAATATTATGTTCGATTCCTTAATTCAAAAGTCAATTCTATGGAAGAACTCTTCCAGAGGTCTTATTTTTGGCCCAATTTAACAATTACTATTTTAACTATAATTCTGCTCATTTTCCATGAGACCAGATGCATTTGTGTATTCCTCTGAAAATTCTCGAGGCAAAGCAAAACTTCTGGGGTCTATCTAAGGGCCAGGCTACGGTGCAAAGCAATCAACTGGAGTCTATCCACTTCTATCCTGCCAATTCCATTAAGAGTAGCCCATGCACCAATGAGGGAAGGTATTAACAGAAGCAGAGGCTAAGCACTACTCACTCATACCCCAAGTGAGATGATCTTGGAAGCCATCTGGCTATGAATCGTTAGATAAGCAAAGAGCAGCTGTAGCAGTCGCTGGCTATGTGATGCTGCCTCCTATCCATAGTGCCTAGTTTATGAAACATGCTCAAAACTTCGTGTTATTTGAGTAATGAGCTATATTCCTAACCCATCGATTCCATGGTGGCTTCTCCAACATTTCCTTTACCTCAGGTTTCCAAGAGGGGGCGCTCAGTCTTCACCCTCCTCTTTGGTGAGTATGGAAGAAATCAGATCTAGCTCACCCAGCCCTACCTGGCCATGCTTATGTATAATGTCAGGTACTAGGTTCATTTCTAGGATGAAAGATAAGGATGTCCTCTGTCACAAACATATCTTCCAATAAAGAGTTCATCAACGACAAATCTAGGACCGTATCTCCAGATATCTTATTTAGTACTCATGTATCCATTTATTCCAACCCAGTAGAAAGTGGGGTGGAAGGCATTACCTGTTGACTTTCTATGTTTACTAACATTACCAGGCTATACTGAGAAATAAGCAGAACTCAGGATTGAAATACCGTTTGGGGAGTAGGGCATGTCATGGCCTAACGCTCAAATTTTAAAGAGTTAGTTATGTGCCATGTATAATTCCTATGTTTTTACATTAAAGGCAATTTCTAGCAGTTGAAATCACAGAGAAAGTAATGAGACCCTGTACACCTACAGTGAGCTTCAATAACTATCAACAAGCCCTCAAAGGACTTACACATTTATCTCACTATTTTGAATTACATCTCAGAAATTATACTAATTGGTCCACAAATACTTTAGTATAATCCCTAAGACATACAGAATTCATTTTACAAAAACATAACCACAGTATTGTAATCCTCCCTTAAAAATGAGCAAAAAATTGTTCTTGGGAGATAGTTCAGTGGGCTTGTCACTCAATAGTGAAGACTTAAAAGTTCAAATCCCAGGCCAGGCGTGGTGGTGCATGCCTTTAATCCCAGCACTTGGGAAGCAGAGGCAGGCGGATATCTCTGAGTTCAAAGCCAGCCAGGTCTACATAGTGAGTTCCAGGACAGTTGGAGCTACAGGGAGACCCTGTCTCAAAAAGACAAAAAAAAAAAGAAAAAAGAAGAAGAATAAAAAAGTTCAAATCCCTAGAACCCACAACCACAAGGTGTAGGAGCACACACTGTAATCCTACTGCCCCCACTCCAAGATTGGAGGTGGAGACAGACTCCAGGAGCACATGGGCCAGTTGGCCTGGTGAACACAGCCCAGTGCCAAACAAAGACACCATGTATCGAGGTGTAGGTAAGGATCAACACTCAAAGTTTCCTCTGACCTTGACATGCGCGCTATGCTCATACATGACTGTACATACACACATCACACACATATCATACACACACCATACAAATTAGCCAAAAATTCCTTAAAGATCATTCTTGAATATTCACACTGAAAAATGTCCAGTGTCTTAAAATGAGATCTACACAAGGCCCACACACTGCAACTGGTTATAGCACTTAAGTCTTTGTTCATCTATAGACTTCATCTCCTCTCTTAAAAATTTCATTTTGTTGTTGTGGAAGAAACCAGGTTGTTTCCTGCAAAGTTCCCATGGGCTTGATTTTGCTGATTATACTCCTAAGGTTTTGTTTAAAATGTTCCTCTGTTGACACATTTTATGTAAATTGTGAGATCTGAATGATTGATCTGATTAGAATTTGATTTATTTTTTTCTGGCAAGTACACTCCAAGATCTTTTCTTCATTTACTATCTGAATACTTCCATCTAAAAAGTTTCTCCTCACAGTTAATATAGCCAGGATAACCCCCATAGGACCATTTTACCTTTAGTGAGAGATGGTATTTAAAGGCCATGCTCTGGGGGCTGGAGAGATGGCTCTGTGCTTAAGAGCACTGGCTACTCTTGCAGAGGACCTGGGTTCAATTCCCAGCATACACATGGCTGCTAAAAACCATCCTTAACTTCCCAGGGAATCCGATACCTCCTTCCGATCTCCTTGGCCATTGCACAACACAGGTGCATGTACATACATGCAGGCATAACACTCATACATATCAAATAAAAACAATAAATATTAAAAAATAAATCTTTAAAAAAAGAGATACTATGATCTGGGTGTTTGATGCTCACTTACTGCTGAGCCCTTTTAACTGAGTTGGCTCTCTTGTCACTATTTTCTTCAACCTTATACATGGTTCTGTCTTTGGATTCTCCATTTATGCCACTTACGTGTTTCCTTCTTCATGCCGATATCATACTTTCCCAATTATTAAAGCCTTAATAAGCCTTGAATCAGGCAATGAGTCCTGAAAGTATTTTTTCCTTTCAGAGATTTCCTGGGTGGTGGGGAATTCACCTTTATTTGCATATACTTACAAATTTTGGAAAGAACTGACAACTTTTAAGAAAATGCTTTGGAGATTTTCATTGGGATTACAATGGATTAATAGGTCAAGGTGGGAATAATTGGTACTGTCTTCCTGCCCACAAACATGACATGTCTCTTCATTTCCTTAGGTCTTCTTAAATATATCTGTAATATATTGTAGCTTTCAATATAGAAATCTTGTTCAAGTAGACAGAAACTTTGTTATTTACATTGTCCATTTCTTGCATTGTGGCTAGTGTTGCAATAAACATGGGAGTGCATATGTCCCTTTGATACATTTTTTGATATTTTACATATATCTACAAATATATATATATATCTCAACTCATTTGGGCTTTCTATGGAGTTCCATATATATTTGGTTACTAACTCCTTGACAGATGTATAATTTGCAAATATTTTCTCCAAACCTATAGCTTCTCTCTTTCTAAAAAATTTTTATTTATTATTTTTACTTTACGTGTATGACTATATTGCCTGCATGTATGTAAGTGCACCTGTGTCATGCAATGCCTGCAGAAGTAAGAAGAGGGTGTCCAATTTCCCCAGAAATGGAGTTATGGACAGTTGTTAGCCGCCATGTGGATGTTGGAAATCAAATCAGATTCTCTGAAAGAGCAGCCAGTGCTCTTAACCACTGAGCCATCTCTCCAGCCTTTACTCTTTTTTTAACATGTGTATGTGTGGTGTGTGTGGGTGCACATGTGAGTGTGGTACATGTGTGTGCATGTGTACCTGAAAGGCTGAGGTTGATATCAGGTGTCTTCCCCAGTCGCTCTCCACCTTATACACTGAGGCAGGGTCTCTTGCTGACACAGAGCTTACCATTGCAGCTAATCTGGCTACTTGGCTTGCTCCAGGGATTGCCTGTCTCCATCTCCTCTTTGATGAGATTACAGGCAGACAGCCATGCCTGCCCAGTTCTGGGGATTGAAATTCTGGTCCTTAATACTTGTGTGGCAAGCTCTTTACTTACTATGCCATCTTCCCAGCTCTAGGCTGTCTCAATTCTGCTGATTGTTTCCTTTGTTGTGCAGGACCTTTTTAGTTTGGTATGACTCTACTGACTACAGCTTTAATAATCCTTGAAATCAGGTCGTGGATCCTGTAAACTTACCTATTTTCACTTTTGTTTCCTTTCCCACCACAAGGTCAGAAAGTTTCCCCTGTGATCTTTCTACCTTTTTGTGTTTGATGTTTTTAATTATGTATCTTTTCCCGCATTTTTATTTTGAATCTTTTGCTTCTTAATGTTCAAAAATATTTCTCTCCTGGACAAATATGCATATCTTTGTTTTTCCCCAAACATCTATGACTTCAACTGGGGTATTTAGCCAACTTTTGTTTAATGTAGCTATGATTGAGTTAGTTTTAATGCTTGCTATTTAATTTCTATTTGTCCTTTGTACATTTTATTTTGCTGCTCCTTTTCCCCTTTTCTTTTAAGTTGACTGACTTAAGACTAACATTTAGCCTTATTCTTTATTAGCTTTTAGACATATCTCTTTTTGTTGCTGCCATTACTGCAGGGACCACTGTATATATCCTTAACTTAGCATATTCCACTCACAGCTGATATTTATGCCTCAATATGAAGTGCACAAAACTCACAATAGTTTAATTTTATTTATATACTGTCTTTCATGATATTGTTGTTAGATATTTTCCTCCAGAAATATTCTAAATCTTATGGCTCAATATATTTAGATGAGCCATAATCTAAATGAGCTTACTAATTTTCAATATGTTTATGTTATTGAATACTGTATTGTTTCGATTTTATTCCCATAACTTAAACCATGGTATGGAAGATTTTAAGTAGCTACAAATCTTAGCACCTAGAGCACTAAAAGAGGGACAGATTTAAAAAAGAATAGGGATAAACTGAGAAGCCCTGTCACGCCTTTGGAATTCATTTCTTTATTTGTCAGAAAGACTACCGTGTTCACTAAATGCACCACGGTTAATAGAGAAGACAGAACTCAGTCAGTGCTGCTGCTTCTTTCCTTCAAACAATCTGAGTTTTCAGGCTAAGATATTTTTAATTAACATTAATGCAAGTTATAGGCGTGAACAGAATAATAAGAAGAAGCGAATGAAAAACAGACAAACCAAATGGGAACTCAAGAAGAATATCAATTTCTATTTATCCCAAGCTGTGTGACGAAAAGTATTTTTAAATTGAATACAATAAAAATAATTACCAAAATGCCCTTACCTTAATAGAATTGGTATTTTGTAGCTTTATTAACATGTCAATAAGTAATTCTGCTCCCAAGTTGAACGGTAAAACAGAGGCGCATAGGAAACCATCCTGGCTAATAGGAAATGTTTTGTAAATATCCACTGCCTGCTTTAGCAGTATCTGCAGCTCCTGAGTGAAGTTCCAGAAGACTCTGGAGCAGTTCTGGAGCAGAGTCCAGTACCCACCACGGTGAGCAAGAACCTACGACAGACACGGCAGTCAGCACCCCAAAGTTCCAGAAATTACACATCTGGAAAACATGTTTTTTCTGAAAACATGTATGTCAATGATAAAATTATCTAACAGCATTTGTTGTGTGCTAGACACTGTGACAAGATACTTAAGAGCATCATTCATGAATCCACCAGACCTGGGAGGCACACACACGTTAACCCTTTAGCAATGAGGAAGTAAAGCCTTGGTTAACTCTCCCATGGTCATCAACCTACTAAGTGGGAAAGCACAGTTTGTACACTGATGTGGAAAGAACCACAAAATCCCATTGCTCGAGGTGCTGAGCATGCGGCAGTGAGCAAGGATGCTAGTTTGTCTTTGTGCTGCTTATTGTAAAAGAAGACCACCAGCTATAGAAAGGCAAAGAGGGGAGTTCAGGGAATAATAAATTTTATTTTAAAAAATAAAGAAGTCAGAACAAGGCAAGGAGTGAGAGAACCTGCTAGTTTAGGGTCAGGAAGGAAGTCCTTTCTGAGGAAGTGGCATGTGTGCAGGTACCTGAGTGAATCATATGAAGGCCAACGGTGGGGGGGGGGGGACCAGGAGAAGGCCAACACTGGAGACTGGAACGGTGGAACACCAAGCATGAAGAATGGCGGTAGGAACTGGGGGCTGGAGAGGAAGCAGATTTAGTGCTTTTGAGATGGGAGTGGGTGGGGGAGAGAGCAAGAAGAACTGGTTCCACAGAGTAGAGCTGAGCTTTCTCAAAGCCCTAATGCCAATAAATGGAGCCAAAGACTGGATGTTCATGGTCAAAGGGGATGAGAGGAGTTTACTTGACATTTTGTAAAATTATTCTGTCCACAGAGAAAACCTGGGTGTTCTTTTCCTGTCTAGGTCCTGTTACCTCTTAAGATACTTTAAGTATATGCTCTTCCTCCTATGAGAAAGAAGAAACTAATGACTTTGTGGCTAATAATTCTGATCCTGGGTTTAACAATCTGTGACTTCCTATGTCAAAAGCATACAAGACGGCTGCAGAGATGGGTCAGTGGGTAAGAACACTTGATACATAAACATGAGGACATGAGTTCAAATCCATAGCACTCACATAAATAGCCAGGTGTGGCCAAGTGTGCACCTGTAACCTAAGCATTAGTGTAGTTTCAGAGACTGGAGGGTTGCTAGGACTTGCCTGGTGGCAGCGTAGCTCCAGTTTCAGTGAGAGACTCTGTCTCAAGGTAATAAAGCAGAGAAAGGTAGAGCAGGACACCTAGTGTCTTCCTCTGAGCTCTGCATGTACACAACTGCACACACATGTACACATAACACACACACACACACACACTCAGAAAAAGACAGAGACAGAAAAAGAAAGAGGAGAGAAAGCACTGACAAGAAGATACATATAAGTGATTGATGGGCTCAGGAGGTTTGGGCCACAGCAGAGCTTTCTATAGCTTGCAAAGGTCTTCCCTTGTGCTAGAGGAAAGAGGGATGGTTATGGTACCCAAGGAGTCATTGAGACTCCAGAGAAGAATCTGTGGTGAGAGAATCCAACATCCCACTTGTATCAGGAAAGCAATCAATGAACATGCCTGGTTACAGGATCTTCAAGAGTGGTAACACCTTGAAGTGTACCCACCGAGGTTCTAGGTACAAAGATAACAGGTATAACTAAAGAAGCACAGGCCCTTGACCCAGCAGCTGGACAACACACAAGAATTCAGAATCATGAAGGGAAAACCTCAAATTTGGCTGAGGAAGACCTAACAAGATGAGGTCTCAATATAACTAAAACTACGTATAGTGAGTGAAGGAATCTTAAAAGCCCAAGCTTATGGGCTCAAGTTCCTATCTTCTGCATGAGTGAATGAAAAGGATCACATTACCATCGCTCTCTTGCAACATGAGAAGATTTGCATAAAATGATCCAGTCCCCAATTTAGTGCTCGATCCTTCTCTCTGTTGTTACCACCATCTAATTGAGATTCTGATTCATAAAGTGTGTGTGTTTTTGTCTTGGACATACTGTCTTCATTTTTGTAATTCCAAAATGCAGGAAACTCTTCAGAATCTACATTACAAAAATAAAACACATTATTAAAAACACAGTTATGTTCCAACAAACACAGGTGGTCAGGATCAAATGACAGCCAATGCCACATGAACTAAAAGAACAGGACAGCCTGTGATACATGAACCAGTGTGGTGGTCTGAATGAGAATGTCTTTCATAGGATAAAATGTTTGAGCACTTGGTCCCCAGTTGGTGGAGCTGTTGGGAGGTCATGGAATCTCTGGGAGGTGTGGTCTTGCTGGAGGAAGCATGTCATTGTGGGGTGCGTTTTGAGAGTCCACAGCCTCACCCCACTTCCAGTTCATGCTCTTGTCTCTGTGTTTGTGGCTGAAGGTGTGTGCTCTCAGCTTCCTGCTCCCTCCTCTGTGCTGCTGCTTACTGCCATGCCTTTCCACCATGATGGACTCTTATCTCTCTAGAACTGTTAGCCAAAATAAATTCTTCCTTCCAGAAGTCATTTTGGTCATGGTGTTTCATCACAGCAGCAGAAAAGTGACTAATACACCAGGGGAAGTCTTCAGAGAAGGGGGTGATTAAGAAGTACAGGACAAGCATGGTTTAGCCATTTAGGAAAACCTGGAGTAAAACATTTCAGGCTAAGATGGAAACAAAGGGAACAACGCAGTGAGAAGAATGACCTGTTTGGGAGAAGCAGTGACAGGATCCCTGTTCTGCAACTTCCAAGAAGGCCATCCCCAGGACCCAGGCACTAGCAGGTGCATAGCCCCTGGTCACCCATCTTTCTACTAGGATGATAGCAACCCAGAAGTGTTTCACCTGCCACACACTCCCTCATCTATCTGTGACTAAATAGCAGTTCTTGAGTCTTCAGTATCATAGCGGGTTATAGCCAGAGGCAAGCTACCTAGTTCAATCTATATAAAAAATACAGATTTTATGTCTATGGAATTTACTTTCAGTAATTGTAATATGCATAGCATGATGCTTAAGTACCAGATCTATACCTAGAAGAGTTAGAATCAAGTCAAATACCTCAGCGATGAATCAGCACTACTGGGGCAGTGAATGAGCCTTCTGAGAACCCTGATCAGCAAGAAGTTACATTGTTCTAAAATACCAGTACTGAAAATTTGAATACAGGGGCTAGAGACATGGCTCAGCAGTTAAGAGTACTGGCTGCTCTTGCCAAGGACCTGGGTTCCATTCTCAGCACCCACATGGTGGCAAACAACTGTCCTGCATGACATGGATGTACCTACCTACAGGCAAGGAATACATCCATACACATAAAGTAAAATAATAAATAAAATATTTTCAAAAGAAAATTCTTTAAAAGAGGAAAATATGAATACATGAATTTTTAATAGCTTAAAATATAAGAAATGCCATTTTCATCATGAAATGAGTGGTGATCAAGATAAGAAAACTTGTTGGTTAAGAATAGAATCCAGGGCTGCAGAGATGGCTCAGAAGTTAAGAGCACAGGCTGTTCTTAAAGAGGACCCAGGTTCGATTCCCAGAGGAGGCTAACAACCCACATGGAGGCTAACTGTCCCTCACTCCAGTTCCAGGAGATCTGATGCCTTCTTCCAACCTCTGTGAGCACTGCACAACATAGGTGTACTTACACACATGCAAGCAATATACTCATACATGTAAAATAAAAATCATAAATAATATTTTTTAAAATTAAAAGAATAGTACCCAGGCTCTGTCATCTTCACAAGAAAGAGTCATGTGTAAAAACAGTCAAATTATGCAGACAATAGTCAACACAACATGCAAATGGAGAGACCAGTCTGCCTGCATGTCTCCACCATCCAGTCTCCAGGCACCAGACCACAGAACAGCTCTTCCTGGTCCTGCCAGCAGAAATTATTTCATTCACTTTGGAGCAAGCATTCATGGAAGGTGCAAGTTGGTGATTACAGGGCATCAGTGGACTGGCCTGAATTCAAACTCAGCTCTTATGACTATTTTTGTGCCTGGTAATATCAGTACATCTGTTTGAAAAGAGATTTCTACTAAAATATCACATCTGGGGCTGGAGAGATGGCTCAGCAGATAAGAACACTCTTCTTGCAGAAGACCCAGGTTCGAATCCAAGCACCCACATGGCAACTAACAACTGTCTGTCCGTAACTCCAGTTCCAGGAGATCCGACAGTCTCTTCTGTCCTCCACAGGCATTGCATGACACAGGTGCACTTACCTATATGCAGGCAATACATGCATACACATAAAATAAAAATAATAAATAAAATATTTTTTAAAATAAAGTAAAATAAAATATCACACCCGCTAGCAATCTTAAACCACTACAGGTTACTAATATTAAATAAAAGAGCATTATATTTACAGAGCAGTCTAAATTTATGGTGGAATGTAAAATACTTAATTATTAAAACAGACCAAAGCAAACAGTTTCCTATAAAACATCATAACTCAACAACATAACTAAATTGCTGGGTTTTTGAAAAACAGCATGTGTATTTCTATCCATGGTGTGTGTGTGTGTGTGTGTGTGTGTGTGTGTGTGTGTGTGTATGTGTGTATGTGTGTGTGCATGTGCATGCACACGTTGTGTGTACGTACGTGTGGGGTGTGTGTGTATGTGCGTGTGTGTGTGTGTGTGCATGTGTGCCATGTTAGTGAATAAAACCTTGAGGCAATTAATAGAATAGTTCATCAGCATATTTCCTTTACCTGTTGGTAAGTGTGGCCTTTTTCTTTTAGCTGCCATGATGGCATCCAGCATTGCATTATAACTGTCTGCTGTCAGTTTTGTCGTTGGCAACACTGTTCCAGAATGATATAGTGAGAATAAGTTAGGGTCACAGGATCGGAAACTGCAAAGGGGGAAAAGCACATGAAATAGCAATATAAGCAAAACCAAATTAAGTCTTTTAAATACAACGTACTTTTATTCTTAAACGTTTGTGGTTCTCTCAAATTTTAGACCATGTTATTTTAGCAGATATTCTAGTTTTCCGTCAACTGCTGTGACAAAACACTCAGACCAATACCAGCTTGGGGAGGAAAGGGTTTATTTTATCCTACATCTCCTGGGTCATAGTCCATCACTGAGGAAGCTCAAGGTAGGAACTCAGAGCAGGAACCTGGAGGCAAGAGCTAAAGTACAGATTACAGAGGAATTCTGCTTACTGGCTTGTTCCTCTGGCCCAAGCTCAGGCTGCTTTCTTATACAATACAGAACAGCCTGCCCACGGGCGGCACCACCCAGAGTGGGCTGGGCCCTTCCACATCACTCAACCATCAAGAAAATACCCCACAGATATGGCCACAGGCCAATCCAATGGAGGCAGTTCCCCAGTTTACTCCCTCTACTCACATATGTCAAGTTGACAACTAAAGCTGTCCAACACAGCAGATAATCAAATCCCAACATTTTCCCATTAACTTCTGAAATTATATAATGTAACTTTGCTCCTAGGAGATTCAACATTAATATCTCTTTCTCTGAAAAGTATCCTTGGAAATGAAAATGAAGGGGCTCTAAAACAATAATTTATGTCAACTTAAAGCCACCTTGGGCTAGATATAGTACAGTGGTAGACCACTTGCCCGGCATGTGTAAGACCCTGGGTAATAATCCCCAGAACTGAAAAAATAAAGCTGAGAATGCTGTGAGGCACCTCTCTTGACATTTTGTGCGGGTGTCAGGAAGTCACAGTATCTATATTTGAGTGTGGACTTTCCAGCACAGCTGTAAATGGGGGGGAGCACCCACTCTTCTGTAAATAAACCCCCACCCTATGCTCTGTTAGGAAACCCAATAGACTCACTAAGATTAAAAGAAAAAGAACAGAGCTAATGGAAACCTTCATTATTCCACCAAAGTTGACACCATGTTGGCAAATCCTTTGGTCTTTGTCCACCCTTAAACCTCATTGTATATATTTCTTTATGTAACCTGCTTCAAGTTATTTCTGGAAAAATGTGTTAAAATTGCCTCTTTGGGAATAATAAAAAAATAATAAAAAGTAAAATAAAAAATAAAATAAAAATAAAATCATATGATTTAAACACAACTCAGTGAAGATATCTCCTGTTTAAAACACTGTACCCATAATAACTATCATTCCTTTTTAAAAGTAAAGGCAGGGGGCTGGAGAGATGGCACAGGGGTTAAGAGCACTGGCTGCTCTTGCAAAGAACCTGAGTTCTATTCCCAGTGCCCACATGACAGCTAGCAATCATTGGTAATGCCAGTTCTGGGAGGTTGACACTCTCTTCTGGCCTCTGCAGGCATTGCGTGACATGGGTGTATTTACGTACATGCAGGCAAAACACTCATACATAAAAATAAATCAATAAATAAATAAATAATAAAAATGAAGTTTTAGCAATAAGTAATTTTTTTAAACATCAAACATTGAATACACATCAAAATTTTAATGAAATTAAAAGTAGCAGCAAGGTACCCCTGACACAACTTTGATCATAGTTTTACTGTGCTGGCCCCATACACAAATAGTGATGCATCATTAGAAAGCTCAAAGAAGACTTCTCAGTGCACAGAGTTTAACAAAATGTCTTCCTTTTCCCTGCCATTGCTCCATGAACAAGTCATTCTGCTATGTTGCCTGCTGCTTCTTTTTAGCCTGGAACTTACTTGAAGCCTCAATTAGCCTGAAAGTCTCCATCCCTCCACCCCAGCCTCAGTATCAGGATTATAGCATCATGCCCCGATGGCTAGCTGCTTCTTAAGCATAGATCTGCATTATTCCACAAAGAAATGGGTCTATGAAGAGTACTTTGTGTGAAAGTTACTCTCTCAGTAATTCTAACCAAATGTCTAGAGAAATAGAAGCAAGGACCAAGTTCGCCTTGGATTTTAACCTGCACTTGTTTTGCTTCATTGGATTATTGAAATAAGTATCCTCTTGATTTACAGCCCTAGATATTCTTTCCTCTATCCAATCCCTTTAGCATGCTGCTGCCAGGAAAATTTCTCATCCCGGCCATGCTCAAAACTCCTTAATAATCTCCTACTGTATATAACCAAACAGCTCAGATTTATTTTAGACTGAAGACCCTTCATTACCTGGGACTGACTTGCTCCTCTAAGTTCCACCACTCCTTTCATATACCCTAGATTCTAGGCAGGCTATTTGGGTTCTCATGCTATGTTTGCTATCTAGACTCTGGCTTATGCTAGCCCAATTACCTAGAATGCCTATTTCCTGGCTGGCCATTTCAAAACCTTGCCTATCCATTAACATACAGCCTACTTGTCCATCTCCATGACCTCCCCGCCCCAGTTAGGTCAACCCAGAGGAAAGCCACCAGGTAGAAACAAAGAAGACTTTACATATACTTGACCTTCTCCCATTAAGTATACTTATTCATGGGTATTTGTGATAGATACTACCAGATCTAATTTGCATATCCTGTCCCTCTTTGCATACTCTTGTCATCTAGCTCACTGTCCTTTATCTAAGAGGTACTTGGCAAGTTTCTTTCTGAGTGAGTGACTTCATATCACCTTTACAACAGTTACCTAGCAATTCATTGTATATACCTATCTTCCTATCTTCTATTTTTATCTGCCTCAGAACTTAACCAAAGGTACAGAATGAAAACTCAAAAATGACCGTTGAACCAGTGACATAATCTTCATATTTGAAAACCTGATTTCTGTTTATACAAGTTTCAAATATGTCTCTGAATGAAATACATGTTGGCATGTTGCCTACTAAATATCTATAGTTATTATATGGTTATTATATTATATAGTTATATTATAGTTATATATATTATATTATATAGTTATTATATAGTTAAATATCTATAGTTATTATATGGTGTTACCCTTGCACAGGAAGCTAGACTGATAAACATATTCAAACATACCCAAATCCACACTACGCAAGACATATACTGAGCACTTATTTGGGGAAGATACTGACAAAATAAGAAATACAATAGTGGCCAATATAACACAGACATTCTGTAAATCTTGCTAAGTTGTCACCAATATTGAAGCCTCTTGCATTCAAACATATAGTCCATGTTCATGAGGTTAATAAAGTCTTATTTAACAATAGCAGTACTCTACCTGACAATCCAATGTGAAGAGCTGAATTTCATCTTTGTGCACTCCCCTAGCTTCTGTAAAAACATGTGGAAGTGTGCACTTGCCAGGTAAAGGTTCATCTGAGCTCTCCAGGGGAGTTCTTCAAGAAATATGTGATGAAACCGCCTTCTTCTAACATAACTTAATATTATGGGATTCAAGTTATCTGCCAGGCTTTGATATGCCATTTTTCTAACATCAGCTCTCTTATTTCTGCCAAGAGAGAAAGAAGTTTTGAAGCTGTACAAAAACTTCTAAACATTTAATAAAGAACAATTCCAATTTGCACAAAAGACGTGAGGTCACTTGACTGTCCTCATGCAATTTTTTTGACTTATTTATCATTTCCTCATTGCTCAAAATGTGAAATAGTGTGGAAAAGAAGACATGAGGGTGGGCATCAGGGACAAAAACACTACTTATTTTCTTCAAGTCTCTCACGTTTCAGCTCAGGAAGCCTTGCTTCTCCATAACGGAAAAAACCACAGGGATTAGACAAATCACACAGTGTTCACACTCATCAGTTAACTTCAATATTAAGCAAGAAATTTTTTTCTCCATATTAGTTTTTAAGGGAAAAAATCAATGGAGCAAACTTTTGTCCAACATCAGACTCCAGAGGAAATAAAATTTTAGTCAAATATAGGTGAAATGAAAAAAAATCACAGTCCTTTTTCATTTAGCAGTTCAGATTCGGGCTTGATTTTGTTTTCATTTGGGGAGGGTTGTTTTTTTTGTTGTTGTTTTGTTTTTGTTTTTTGAGAGAGGATCTCATTGTATTATCCAGCTAGGCCTGACCTATTCATCCTTCATCCTCAACCTACTATGTGCCATAATAGTCCAAACTTTAAGTATAATGTTCAATATTTTAAAGTCATTCCTATCAAAATTCATAGTAGGGACTGGGGCAATGGCTCAGTCAGAAAAGTGTTTCCATGTAACCATGAGGACCCAAGTTTGGATTTCCGGCATCCATATAAAAAAAATCTGGATGGGACAGTGCATGCCTGTGAGATGGAGTGAGGAGGATCCCAGGCTTGCTAGTCAGCCACTCTAGCCGAATCAGTGAGCTCCAGGTTCAGTGCAAGATTGTCTCAAAAAATAGGTAGATGGTGATTAAAACAGAGACAACTGGTCAACATACAGAGAATAAGAGACTGCAGAGGGCTTATCTGTAAGTAGAACACATATATCAAACCTTGCCTCCCAAGGCTCAGGGATCATTGTGAAAGAGAAGGCAGAAGAGTGTTAGAGCCAGAGATGATGGGTGATCAAATGGAAATGGAGTTTTCCAGACTGCTGGGCAGTTGCTCATATGAAAACACACCAATGGGGACAAGATGCACAGGAACCATGTAAGCTCAAGCCAGGTAGAATCCCAGCATGGAAGTGAAGAGGTGTGTACGAGGCCCCAGCCCTATCTTAGGAACTACTGGCAATTGAAAGCTGCTGGGAGAGGGAGAGTCAGGTTTCTTTATGGGTGCTTCACTGGATAGGCTGACCAGGCTCCAGTGATGAACCCAGATTGAAGGGCATTTGGGGACATAGCTTTGACTTGATAGGCTTTTATATAGGTGGAGGTAGAGATAGAGATAGAGATAGAGGTATATATA